TCTTGGCTACTGCAACCTCTGCCTCCCAGGTTCAAGCGATTCTCCTGCGTCAGCCTCCTGGGTAGCTGGGATTACAGGTGGCCACCACCACACCCAGCTAATTTTTGTATTTTTAGTAGAGATGGGGTTTCACCATGTTTGTCACACCTCAAACTCCTGACCTCATGATCTACCTGCCTCAGCCCCCCAAGTGCTGGGATTACAGGCATGAAAAAAATATTTTCTAAAGCATTCTGGAAGAAAAAAGTAGTCCGTACTACAAAGAAAAGATGTATGGAAAACATCAAGGATATCAGAGTTCTAGAGTTTTGTTTTTTTGTGTTAAATATTTGGTTGTTTCCCTTTTTAAGAAACATGTTGACCCAACAATCCCATTACTGGGTATATACCCAAAGGAATATAAATCATTCCACTATAAAGATACATGCATTTGTATATTCATTGCAGTACTATTCGCAATACCAAAGACACAGAATCAACCCAAATGCCCATCAATGATTGACTGGTTAAAGAAAATGTGGTACATATACATCACAGAATACTATGCAGCCGTAAAAAGGAATGAAATCATGTCCTTTGCAGGGACATGCATGGAGCTGGAAGCCATTATCCTCAGCAAACTAACACAGGAACAAAAAACCAAATCTGCTTGTTCTCACTTATAAGTGGGAGCTGAACAATGAGAACACATGGACACAGGGAGGGGAATACCACATGCTGGGGCCTATTTCGGGGAGCAGGGAGGAGGGAGCAACAGGCTAAATAGCTGATGCATGTGATGCTTAATACCTAGGTGATGGGTTGATAGGTGCAGCAAATCACCATGGCACACATTTACCTATGTAACAAGCCTGCACATCCTGCACTTGTATCCCAGAACTCAAATTATTAAAATAATCAGAATGTGGGGGAAAAAAAAAAGAAATATGTTACCATGGAAAATTGTAAACAGGCTTTTAAAAACTGAAATAGTATAATGAGCCTTTTATATCTATCTCCTAGATTCCACAATTATCAAGTAACAGCCAGTCTGCCTGTGCCGCAATTTGTCATTGACTGGGCAAAGCAGATGACCCATGTCTCACTTTGCAGGTATTGACTGGGCTCCCAAGAGCGACCGCATCGTCACTTGCGGGGCAGACCGAAATGCCTATGTCTGGAGTCAGAAAGATGGTATCTGGAAGCCAACCCTGGTGATCCTGAGAATTAATCGTGCAGCTACTTTTGTGAAGTGGTCCCCCCTAGAGAACAAATTTGCTGTGGGAAGTGGAGCACGACTCATTTCCGTTTGTTACTTTGAGTCTGAAAATGACTGGTGAGTGACATCTGAACTTTTTTTATCCCTTTCTATAGAATTTACACTTGCATTGCTGTATGAAGGCTTACCATAACTCCAGTTTTTTCTCATCCAGAGTTTTGTGGGGTTTTTTCTCTGAAATTCTCAATTCTGTCTGAGCATTTTCCCTTCTCATGTGCACGTTAAGTTAAATCTCATGTTTTTTATATTAATATAGATCTATCGTGTCTATGTTCTGATCTCCCAACTTGTTTCTTCTGCAAGTTGCTACTACTGTTCTCACTCTGTACTGTGCCATTTACTGTTTTCTTACTCTCATATACGTATAATCTTGAAAGAGTCTCCCTTCCCTGAGGAATCATTTTTTTTTCACACGATATCTATCTAGGATTCCTGCAGATAATGATGTTTTCCTTCCTTTTTTTTTTTTTTTTTTTTTTTTTTTTTTTTTTTTTTTTTTTTTTTTTTTTGAGATGAAGTCTCACTCTGTCACCCAGGCTAGAGTACAGTGGTGCACTCTTGGCTCACTGCAACCTCCACACCCCAGTTCAGGCGATTCTCCCGCCCCAGCCTCCCGAGTAGCTGGGTGCCTGCCACTGCACCTGGCTAATTTTTATATTTTTAATAGAGGCAGGGTTTCACCATTTTGGCCAGGCTGGTCTTGAACTCCTGACCTCGTGATCCACCCACCTCAGCATCTCAAAGTGCTGGAATTACAGGTGTGAGCTACCACACCCAGCCAGTGTTCTCCTTTCTTGAAAGCTTATTTGACGGCCAGGAGCCATGGCTCATGCCTGTAATTCCAGCATTTTGGGAGGCTGAGGCGGGTGGATCACGAGGTCAGGAGATCGAGACCATCCTGGCCAACATGGTGCCTGGTGAAACCCCATCTCTACTAAAAATACAAAAATTAGCTGGGCATGGTGGCATGTGCCTGTAGTCCCAGCTACTCGGGAGGCTGAGGCAGGAGAATGGCTTGAACCCAGGAGGCGGAGGTTGCAGTGAGCCGAGATTGCACCACTGCACTCCAGCCTGGCACCTGGCGACAGAACAAGACTATGTCTCAAAAAAAAAAAAAAAAAAAGCTTATTTGCCAACCAGATCTGTGCCTTGGTGTAATACTTGTTCAACTGTTAAGTCAAAACTCACCAGAATCTTAGAAGTCTAATCAGGCTATTGCACATTTTTTAAATAAACCACTTGTAGCTGACCCGGTCAAAACACAAAGATTTATTTTATGGCTAAAGTTTATTTTAACTACTCCTTCCAGTTTATTTTGATAAGAAAACAAGTATTCTACCTGGCATGCATTCAGCATAACTGGCAAATATCCTTCAACATAAAATTATCATTTAATACTAAACTGGCAGTGTTTGTGTTTCTACTAAAAATAGCAGAATACACAGGACTCTTTGTAGCAGTTTTGTTATTTGTATTCTGCTGAAATTGAAAGGAGGGGATTATCATATTACCTTTGTAATTTGGTAAAACTTCGGAAATTTTATTGTTCGAAAAGAAATTGAGAATTTTCAATAAAATCGAATTATGAATTCGAAACATACATTCTTTTTTCAAATGTGTAAATCACAGCTAACAAAATGTTGCCTGCTAGAAATGATTTGGAAGTTTCATTGTAATAAGAAACTAACGTTATTAGTATTCCCTCAAGGCTAAACTTTATGTCAGCTAGTACTCCTTGCAGCCTTACAAATTTCTACAGGAAACTTTTCTTCCAAGTTGAACTTCGACCTCAGTAATCGTTTGCATTTTTATTCCTTGAGGATTAGTCTCAAATATAGATAAATTGGACTTTATTGTGCTAGAAGATATTGTCTTGGTACAAGCTGTATGTTTAGAGCAGTTTTTCAGTTGTAGAACAATTTCTCAGAAGCTTATAATTTAGTCATATGAACTAATTATTTTGCTTACCATCTTTTTCTTAATTAAAAAAAATTACATTATGAAGGCCGGGCATGGTGGCTCACACCTGTAATCTCAACACTTTGGGAGGCCGAGGCAGGCAGATCAGGAGGTCAGGAGTTTACGACCAGCCTGGCCAACATGGTGAAACCCTGTCTGTACTAAAAGTATGAAAAAATTAGCTGGGCGTAGTGCCGCATGCCTGTAACCCCAGTTCACCGGTAGGCTGAGGTAGGAGAAACGCTTGAACGCGGGAGTCCGAGATTGCAGTGAGCCAAGATCACACCCCTGGACTCCAACCTGGGCAACAGAGTGAGACTCCATCTCACGGGGGGGGAAGAAAAGAAACAATTTAGAATATTGTCTTTTTCTGCTTTTCTTAAAGACTTTGTGGGGGTTTTTGGGTTTTTTAATTAATTTATTTATTTGTTTTTTTGTTTGTTTGTTTGTTTGTTTTTTGAGACGGAGTTTCGCTCTTGTTACCCAGGCTGGAGTGCAATGGCACGATCTCGGCTCACCGCAACCTCCGCCTCCTGAGTTCAGGCAATTCTCCTGCCTCAGCCTCCTGAGTAGCTGGGACTACAGACACGCGCCACCATGCCCAGCTAATTTTTTTGTAGTTTTAGTAGAGACGGGGTTTCACCATGTTGACCAG